GTAGTCGTAGTCGTAGTAGTAGTATATAGTAGTAGTAGTAGTAGTAGTAGTAGTAGTAGTAGTCGGGCATTGAAGGCAGGTACACGAAACCGAAGCAAGAAAATCAACGTCTTAGTTTATTGACCCGACCCAGTGAAGGAACACTCTTCTCGAGGTTGTTGGCTCCCATGTTCACTGCTCAGTCTGCACCTGAAAAATTCGCAATCTCTGGACCCTAGAGCCCAAGAGTCACAAGGCGCAGGCCAGGGTCAGAGACCCCCTCCCTAGTAGGTCTCCTAGACCTCGCGAACCTGGAAGGCCAGGGCTTAAGTGCCCAAATCTCCAAACCCGCCGGCCCCCAGACCTCCAATGCGGGTACTAACAAAAAAACATGTCCGCACCCCAGCAGATTTTTGGTCAATTTGGGCCTGACCTCTTACAGGGTTTATTAGGGCTTAGGGTTTGCGGGGTAAGGGTTGCATGGGCGTTTTGCAAGGTCTGGTTTCGGCAGCGAGCGAAATACAATCTATCTCCGTTCGTTCTGCCGGAGAGCTGCGCTGAATCGCTGAATCATGAACAACACTGTCTCCGCCCAGTCCCATATAGCTGCTCTAACTTGGCCCATGAACCTCATTCTCATTCTTACGGCTCTATTTTAATTCTGCCTGCCATGAAGCAGGATGACCCAGTATGATATAGCCATAGCGGATGTATATTCTTGGGTAGGGCTTGGTGGTTTATAATACAGTCTGAATATATACGGCCAATATGGGAATACTGAAATAGGTCAACATTCAGACCCCCAGTTACATCCCAACTTTTTCCAATTGCCCCTTAGAGCGCTCAGCATCAGGGAGAAACTCTAAAGCACGAAGCCATGGACGCATGAACTGCGATTTCCAAGCCGCCTCGCGGCCGTTACTTCGAGAAACAAAAAAGCTATACCCAGCGGCAGCACGTGCATCAGAAGTACATCCTTGGCCTAAAGCCCGTAAAGTCCACACGAAGCTGGCAAGCAGAATAGGGTTTACTAACCTAAATCCTAAACCCTAAACGGATCCTTGTCTGCTGCGTGCGAGAGTGAGAGTCGAACCCCCAACCCCTAAGCCCCAAACCGATTAACACCTGGAAATCGGCACCACGGCAGGAATTTGGATTTGGAAGCGGAGAAGACCGGGGGCCGTGGGCGGATGCAGTGGTGCCCCCGGATGGGCTGCTTATATAAAAGATCGGGTTTAGGGTTTGGGGTTTAGGCTCGAGTCTTATTAGAGCGCTCTTTGTGGGTTCTCTTCATAAACGGTAGGGGCTACTGTAGGGGTGGCTACAAGCGGTTCTCGGGTCCTGCGGCATGTGTCCCTATAGAGTCTTGGTTAAAAGCATCGTAGCTATGACCACAGCACCCTAAACCCTGAACCCAAAACCTTGAACCGTAGAATGTGGTTCTACTTATCTCGTTGTAGCCTATTACGGTGCTGATAGCCTGCCTTGTGGATACGGAACGGCACTGCTATGCCAGCGATGTCCTTGCTTGGGAGCGCCTGGGTACGGGTGCCTTGTGCGTATGTGTGTGTGTGTGTGTAGAATCCGAACGTATGTCTTGTTTCATGGAACCCGAGCACCACATGACGAAACACGCGTTGCTCCCCAGCCTCCGTAGACTCAACCTCCAATGCTGAAACACAGCCCTGGCCACACAAGTTCTGGGACATTGGTCAGAGTCAGCGTGCCCAGCCACTCCCCCTGACCCATCACAACTACCAGCACACAGATGCCTCAGCAGTGCTATGCCACAAGCAGGCATCACGTAGCTCGCAACAGGCGGAAGTAGCGTTTGGAGCTGCGCCTGCAGTTTGTGCTTGCATATCTGCATATCGCGAGGGCACAACCACGACTACGATGCGGGTGAGGCTTTAGGATTGCTTGCCCCGCAATGCCAAGCATACCGTGTCCTTTCTTCATGCATTCTGCTGAGAAAGGTGTACCGAAAGTATACCGAAGCTGCCAGCTTCCATAGTATGAATCATGGCACAGGTTCAAAAGTTGTCGAAGGAGAGAGATAAAATTTTGATTGCCAGGGTAAGAGTCTAAGAGGTATGCTTCATGTCGTTTTTTCTGGTTCTGTACTTGGTTTTGCTATCCTGTAGTGTCCGCGAGAGTCTGCAGTTGATGATGTCGCAGCGCAGGTACAGCGACCACGACGATCGTCAGGGTGTGTGGTCCTCGGAGAAAAAATGTCCAGTTTCATGTGGGTGGTTGTCAAAATTAGGGTCCCTTTTGGGGTACCCTAAATATTAGGTGCCGTATTATAATAAGGACCCAAAAAGGGACCATAATTTTGACAACCACCCATGTGTGGGATTCAATGCTTTTGCGGAGTCCATTTTGAACAAGGGGCTGTCTGTTCTTTCGGGAAGGAATAAACATGACAGCTTTAATTGGGCCCCTGCTTTCACTGGCATGTGGCGGTGTTGAAGCATGTAGGGACATATGCAGAGCTGCGGGCGCAGAAGTACGGCAGCTAGATTCGCACATACCTCCACCTTCGGCAAGGGCAAGTGAGCCGGGACAATTCCATCCCCAATAAGCCCTACACCATTCTAGACCAATATATCGAAGGACCTCCTAGAATTGCTTGTCAGGAGGCACCGCAGTCGCGGCGGCGTGGTGGATCGCCAGACTGTCTTTCGTGGCATGTTGCCACAGAGGATGGGTGCCGGGACGCTGAGAAGCCTCTTTCTGTGCTATTGATATCTGGGAGTTTCCGAAAATAAGGGTACCTTATTCTGGGGTCCTTATAATAAGGATCCTACTATTAGGGTACTATGTTAGGGTCCCCTATTTTCGGAAACCCCCATCTCTGGCCTGGCGAGAGCTACCAGCCTTCGAGTTGCATTCAAAGATGCATACAACTCACGAAATAGCTTTGGACATGCTCACTCCCGTCACTATGAGTCTGTATCGGGAATGCGCAAGCTGCTTCTTTGCCCAGAGAGAGAGAGAGAGAGAGAGAGAGAGAGAGAGAGGGAGAAATAGATAATGTAGGAGTGGGTAACGGTATTCCCCTCATAATACGCGCAAAACGACCATATACCTCCAAACCTTTTTCTAATCATCAAGGCACGGATACAGAGAGGGAGGGAGACAGAGTTCGCTCCGATCTTTCATGGAGACTTATTTTCGATGCCAGGTTGGAAGCACGACATGTTCGAAGAGGTGCAGAATGAGGCGACCCTCTCCAGCTGTAGCAAGTTGGCTTAATGTAATAGAAGCTTGAGTAACTGCCACTGTTATTCCTTAAAGTTCCTGAATCTAATTGTACTCTAGCATTCACCAAAACCCATTCGCACTATTATCGCATGCATCGCATCTATGTACAATGCGTTGCACCATGTTTTGGGATGTTGGACCTTTGTGTCTTTCATGTGACTTCCTCGCCCATGTGTACTATTGCCCGACAGCTGTTTGAACCTTGAGACCAGAAAGGCTCGCGCACAAGGCCTCGCCAGCTGCACAACTTCTTGTGCGTTTGTTGAAGTGTCCTGACCTTAATAGCCCACATAAGGGGAGCTCGGGGCGTGTTGCAGATTCCGGAGACATCCACTTGCCAGGGAAAGGACGGCAAGAAGGACGACGGAGAGGAGAACGCAGGGGTTGGATATAAGTATATGCAAGCATGTACAAGTAAGCATGTATCTCTGAGTTGCAGTCATATACATATTCATGCACGTAAGTATATGTGTATACATATATAGATATATACCAATATTACCAGTATGCACGTACAGATGTGTATGTGTTACAGATGTGTATGCGTGTCTATATATATATATACATATGTATATATATATATATATATATCTGTGTGTGTGTTCGTATGTAGACAGAGTGAGAGATTCCTTGAATTCCCATGCTAGGCCTGTACTTAGGTTGCAGGCTCCAGTGAGGCTCCTCACCTTCCTATGCTAGGGTTTAGGGTTTAGGGGAAAGGTTTAGGGTTCACTCGATCCCCAGG